GCATTCCTGGAGTTCCACCTCTCCCCAGCCTGGTTCAACCAGGGGACTCCCAACCTAAGTCCTCCCTTTGACTGGGGAACACTTTGTCCATATTCATTCATTCATTCATTCATTCATTCATTGAGATATTCACTGAATATTGGTTAAAATATAGTGATTTTATGACATATCTCTAGTTAAGATCCAGTTCTGCAACTTGCAAGAAACCCAGGCCAGGGCTTCTCTGGTGGCACAGTGGTTAAGAATCCGCCTGCCGATGTGGGGGACACGGGTTCAAGCCCTGGTCCAGGAAGATCCCACATGCCACAGAGCAACTAAGCCCATGCGCCACAACTACTGAGCCTGCGCTCTAGAGGCCATGTGCCACAACTACTGAAGCCTGTGCACCTAGAGCCCGTGCTCCACAACAAGAGAAGCCACTGCAATGAGAAACCTGCGCACCACAACGAAGAGCAGCCCCACTCTCCGCGACTAGAGAAAAGCCCACGCGCAGCAACGAAGACCCAATGCAGCCAAAAATAAATAAAGAAAATAAATTTAAAGAAACCCAGGCCAAATTACGTGTTCTCTTTGAACATCAGTTTTATCATCTGCAAAACAGGAATAATACAACTACCTATTTTTTAGGGCTGTTGTAAAGGTTGTAGTGAATAATGCATGCAAAGGTTTTAGCCTGGAGCCTGGCCCCATAGCAGGGGCTCCATCACTGGGAGCGTTACTCCTCCCAAGCTTTGGATAAGGTTCTGGGGAGACAGACGTGGATCTAGCCCCAACCCTGCAGGAGTTCACAAAGTGGTCTCACTCCCGTCCCCCAGACACACGCTGCCCTCCCACACCAGTCTCACCCTGGATCCTCAGGCTCTCTTGATACTGGATGATGAAGTATTCTTGAGTCTGCTGCAGTTTCTTCAGCTCATTCTCTGTGTCTTGCGTGACCAGTCGCAGCTCCTCCAGTGTCTGGTTGATCTGAAGGTGTTTCTGGGACATGGCATCAGCGAGACTTCCAGCCGGAGAATTACCCTGGAGACAGATCAGGGAGAAAGTGTGGGCAGCAGTGAGCTGGGCAGGAGGATGGGAGAAAACCTCAGGCCCTGGGGAACGCCAATATTACAGACCCCAAATGCCAGATCTAGAATAAGAAGGAAGGGTACTCTGAGTCAGAAGGAGAGTCATTTGCCTGAATGGGAGTGGAGAGGGTAAAGGAAGAGAAACAGGTGACCTGGCGGACTATGGCATCTTCATAAAGCATGGAAGAAACTTCTGTTGCAGTTCTAACCTCCACCAGAGTATCCCACACAGGGTCCATCTGGGTTCTCTCTGGAGAGACTAGAACTCAACATGTCCCAGGAGTTACCTGGGTTTTCCTACTAATGATGATGACCCCTCATTTCGTAGTCATTCGCTGACCCGATGCCACGATGCCACCTGTGCTAGGTGCTGGGGACACAGTGGGGGACAAGGCTGTGTGAACACACATCATCTGTGTCCTCACTCGAGACCTTCTTGTGACTGAG